CCATTGAGGGTGATGCTTGCTGTGGGTTTGTCATATATAGCTTTTATTATGTTGAGGTATGTTCCTTCTATTCCTGCTTTCTGGAGAGTTTTAATCATAAATGGATGTTGAATTTTGTCAAAGGCTTTTTCTGCATCTATTGAGATAATCATATGGTTTTTATCTTTCAATTTGTTAATTATACTTCAATTTTAAAAAACCTATGAAGACAAAAACCAAATTGTTCTGGTGACTCTTTGATAGGATTATGGCTCACAGTACCAAACAAATCTTTCTTTTTGACTGCTGACTTCCTTCTGTTTCTTTATCCTTTGCCTAACTCTCCCCGCCCTGACAATTTTTTTCCCTATGTCATCTAGTCACAAAGATTAAATAAACAAAACTAAAACTATTGCTAGTATCTGTTTTGGGAGCCAAAAGCTCTGTGTGGGTATATATGTGGAAACCTACTATGACTCATTTAAAAAAAAAAAAGCTCTATTAAAAAAGTCACACATTTTGAATGACCAAATTATACAGTGTTCCCTGATAACTTAAAAAAAAAAATTTCTTTTAATGTGGACCATTTTTAAGTCTTTATTGAATTTGTTACAATATTGCTTCTGTTTTATGCTTTGGTTTTTTGCCCAAGAGGAATGTAGGATCTAAGCTCCACCATCAGAGATTGAACCCACACCCTATGCACTGTGAGGTAATCTCAAACACTGGACTGCAATGGAAGTCCTGATAACTCTTTTAAGAGAAATAAAAACATCAGTTCAGTTCAGTCGCTCAGTCGTGTCCGACTCTTTGTGACCCCATGGACTGCAGCACGACAGGCATCCCTGTTCATCACAAATTACCAGAGTTTACCCAAACTCATGTCCATTGAGTCGGTGATGCCATCCAACCATCTCATCCTCTATCCTCCTCTTCTCCTCCTGCCCTCAATAGTTCCCAGCATCAGGGTCTTTCCCAGTGACTCAGTTCTTCACATCAGGGGGCCAAAGTATTGGAGTTTCAGGTTCAGCATCAGTCCTTCCAATGAATATTCAGGACTGATTTCCTTTAGGATGGACTCGTTTGACCTGCTTGCAGTTCAAGGGACTCAAGAATCTTGTCCAACACCACAGTTCAAAGCATAAATTCTTCAGCACTCAGCTTTCTTTATATTCCAACTATCGTATCTATACATGACTACTGGAAAAACCACAGTGTTGACTCGACAGACCTCTGTTGGCAAAGTAATGTCTCTGCTTTTTAATATGCTGTCTAGGTTGGTCATAACTTTCCTTCCAAGGAGAAAGCATCTTTTAATTTCATGACTGCAGTCACCATATGCAGTGATTTTGGAGCCCCCAAAAAATAAAGCCTGTTTCCCCATCTATTTGCCATAAACTGATGGGACCATATACCATGATCTTAGTTTTCTGAATGTTGAGTTTTAAGCCGACTTTTCCACTCTCCTCTTTCACTTTCATCAAGAGGCTTTTTAGCTCCTCTTTGCTTTCTGCCATACGGGTAGTGTCATCTGCATATCTGAGGTTATTGATATTTCTCCTGGCAATCTTGATTCCAGCTTGTGCTTCATCCAGCCCAGCATTTCACATGATGTACTCTGCATATAAGTTAAATAAGCAGGGTGACAATATACAGCCTTGATGTACTCCTTTTCC